ATTACTGTATATTTTTAAATACACGTCAAACATTTTGGAAATTAACTTGTCGTTCTTGTACGAATTCATAGTTTGTCGATTCAAACGTATCACCGTTGGCTTTGTCTTTTAATCTTGTTCTTGGAAGAAAGAGGAACGATTAGAATATAAAAGTCGATTGTTTCTCTTGGAATCTTCTTCCAAATTTCAATCTTCCGAGATGCGAGTACGACGCGAATGTGGTCAATTCAACAGCGAGCCTTTTTAACGAAGTCCAGACGCGATGCGATCATCGCGATAACGTAATCATGGGAATTGCGTAACGCGGGGCGATCCGACAGCCTTGATCTTGGACATCGAAATCGTGCCGCGTCTCCGGAGAACGTCGTAGCGATCGCATCGATCGGGGGAAAGGGTTGTCCCGTGACCTATCGGAGGAAAGAGCGGAGAAAGGCGCGCGACTTGCGCTGGTTCAAATATAAACGATCAATTATAGGATCCCCTGATACGATCACCTTGGAGGAACGTGATCGTGCACGGTTCGTCCGCTCGCGTTGCGTCGAGATAAAGGGATTTAGAATGTAACCGATAGGCAAATATAACTATCCAACAATGTGCTCAACCGTGCTGACACGTTGATGGATGGCTCTTTGCTGACTATCGTTAAATATTTCAAGACAACACGTATTCGTGTTTGTATCTCTCCTTAATGCTCTGACTGTTTTATGCGTTAGGCACTTTGCCTGGCGACTACGGAAACAGGATTAACGGAGAATTATAAATTATAATTGCGGAATGGAGATAAAGATATCCCGCTTCTTTAAAACAAAAACAATGAAAACCAAGAAAATATGCCACAATCGCATTCAGCACAAGAATACATCCGCTTCGTGAGAATCTTGGCTCAAACGTCCACGCTACACGCTAACCACTACAATAGACCACTACAATAGTATCTTCCAAACTGCTTGAAACCAATTACAAGAAAACCGATGTCAAATCAAAGTATCTAGTTACCCAGGCAACTAACCAATAATGCAACTGAAGAACTCCAATACCAAATCACGAATTGTTCATTCTTAACACAAGTTACAAATACCGTTTACCTCTGTTACGAAACAACAGCTAATAAAACGCTCAGAATTCTCGTAACGATCAACCTGTTCAAGGTTCCGCCACTCGCATTACATTACTGTTATCATCAATATTTGCATTGATTTTCCTTAGCGACGCTCCGCGTTGCGATTCGAAGTTCCGCCCACGCGTTGCCGATCTCGTGCGGTCCGCCCTCGAGTCGCTCGTCGCTCCGAAAAGCCGCGCGTCTCGTGATTCTCGAGAGACCGCGGTCCAAGAATCTTGGCACACCGCCGATTACGATTTTACGCAATCGACGGTCGATGGCTATACGTTTGGGCATTCTTCTGGCCCGGCCCACCCGGCGACCGCACGCGTCCCCCGCTACGCCCCTTTCTGCCGGCCGTTTGGTGATCACATGATGGCCACGCCGAGAAATGGCGGCCCTATTGGTCAGTTCTCATCTCGTTTAAGATGCTAATTTGCTATTCGCCGATACGGCGACGCGTGACCAATAAAAACTGCGAACAAAACGCGCGGCGAAGGGTCCCTCTCGCCCCTGTTCCATCCCACTAGACATCAAGTCGTCTACTAACGGTACTTTCTACGTCTCGTTCCATCCCCATCGATTATAATTAGCGAGCGCCGCGTCCGCGTCTCATCCTTTCCGCGTTGCGCGCAACACGACCGGACCTCCTCTCTTCCTCCTCGATCCTGTCCACTGTTCTCCGGCGCGGATCTAACGACCACAGGAAACTACACTGACGCAACGTAACACAACGTTGCGTAATTTGCGCGCAAATTTCATTCAAATTGTCTCCGTTCCGAGACCTTTTGTTCCGCGCGTTTCTCGCGGAAAACTCGAGGCTCTCGAGAACTACGGTCTTTCGGAAATAACAATGCCACGCAGGGTCATTCGGTGAACCGATTCACTACGTGTAACGATAATTAGGGTCTTACGGAATTCCGCGAGTAACTGATCCAATGTTTTCGTACGAATTTTGTGGTATGTAGAATTTGGAGTTAGTCGCTTTGATCTGTGAACGATTCGTGTGAATAAGATTGAACATCTTATCACAGACGGAAATGAAAGATTAACAAGAATGAAGAAGTTCCATTTAATAAGCAAACCTGCAGCACCTGATTAAAACGAATACATAAGATAGTCGTGTCACGTGCAACAAGTAACTCGACGCATCTCGAACAAATACTTCCGAAAAGCATCAACAAGTAGACGTCTTACTCGTTTAAAATTCCTGCGTCTCAAGGGTCATCCCTTTGCTCTCGACGGTCAGCGAAATGATGAAGTTTCATATTCGATCTCAAGTTTCGTACAACATGTAAACACCTAAAGTGTTTCAACAAAACAGTCCTGTCCCTCAGTTCCTTTACTATTCCTCTACACAGCAGTCGCAAAGAATGTCATCGATATTTCATTAGAAAATCATGAATACTCGCCAATGGGGGAACCTTCGTAAAGGTTTAGCACAACGAAATCGCCGCGGGAGTGTCCTTTTCGTTATCGTCGCTCCTCAGAAGGAGTTCCGATAGCAGAACGTCTCCGTTATTGACAAGATTCGTCGCGTAGCCGCGATAAGCACCGAATTTCCATTCGAGAGGGCAAGTTCCGCGGGTCGAGAGGTGTGCGATCGGGTTCCCCGCGGGCATAATGGAAAGTTTCGTCGATATTATCGTGACGGTCGACGCATACGCAACGATATCTATACTTGAACAGGCAAGGGATAAAACGGGAGGGCACGAGAGGCACTCGTGCGGCCTGTCGATCGATACCGTCCTGACATTGTCGTGCCTCCGTGAAAACCCCTGAATCCGGCCGCGTAATCGCGCGATAAGCTTCCTGTGTCCTGGATTACGCGCGAAGTTTGATCTTCGCAACCCGTTCGCGAAGACTCGTTGCGGCGATTTATAGAACCGGAAAAAACTGGTTCGTAGATTACCGCCTGTTGCTCTCGTCTGATTGTTAGATAGCGGGTCTTCGAAATAAGAATTTTCTAAGCCGATGGAAAGAAACGAGGGTTAACCCCTCACGGTCCAGTGTGTTCCTGATTTTCCACTTCGGAACTTGTTCCATGCAGTTTAATAGAACACTTTGGTAACTAATTTCAGAATTTTTTAAGAAATTCAAATTGCACTTATATGGGATACAATTATGGTAGTATGAATCATCGTTAACCCTTTGTACTCGAGGGGTGACTCTCACTCACCACTTGATTTCATACAGTAAAACTATAAAATTCGATATTTAATGTTGTACTTCGTATAATGCATCAATTTGAGAAATATTGAAATAAAATAGCTTTGTTCCTCAATATACGTGTGATTTCTTGTCGAGATAGTTTCATAAAATATCATCTTTGTCTCATCAGAAAATATTTCTACTGAAAAACTTCCGAGTGCAAAGGATTAAGTTACGTTGAAATTAGTTTCTTCACTTTGGAATCGTAATAAATTGAGAATTTTAATTTTTGACTTGTCCAGTGGAGAAAATTGGATTGTGGATTATTTATTTCGGATGTAACGACAGAAAATAATGATGTGTCGAGGAAAACACTAACTGCGCGAGTACGACTATGTACCTGTTTCCCTCTAGCTGTAATCGCGCTCGAAACTGGAAGGCTTGGCGAGCGAGTTGGTAACGACGGGATAAAAAATGACGCGCATAATTTCTACGTTTTCTAATGTAAATACTGCGACGTATCGACGTAATCGTAGATTTTGCAGCTGGTTATCTCGCGAAACCTGTGTGTCCGGTAGAATCACGGGACGATAATGCGAAACGACGATCGTCTTGGGGAGCCGATGGCAGCACGTTCCGAATGCAGCGGAAAACCTGATCATCGCCGGCGATTAACTCGAACTCGGCGGACAGTATTAGAGATAATTGAATATATAATCTGCGAATGGTAGAATCGTGAGATAAGAGCATCCTGAATCGATGTCGAGATTCGAATACTTCGCAGGGTACCTTGGTCCCCGGTCAAATGAAAAAAAACCTAGCCGATAACCCGTCGAGCGGGTGAATTTTACACGATTATTGGTGCAGGAAGTTTCACGCAGATACGGACTTCCTATTAACTAAATTCCCAGCGAGAAATTTAAATAAGAATTTAGAATTTAAGACCCCGGATTCAAAACTTGCCGCGTTACGAGTTCTACCGATATTCGAACCGAGAGACGTAACATACGGTAGACCGAAGGGAATCGGAACATTCTCTGTTTCGCAGTGACCAGACAGAAATACATGAAAATTAAAGATAAAATATAAGAAAGAATCACTTCTGTTGTGAATAAATTTTGCGAGCAATGGCCGATTCACCTCGGCTTTCCCTAGTGGACACGAATTAAAGAGGTATAAACTACGGATCTTTATGCACTCGTAGAAAATTGATTTTCATAGTGTTCGTTAGGAAAACTTATTTTCCACCGTAGCTTCGTGTTTCTGATCTTAACTTTAAGAATCTCAGTTTACAGAAGGATCCGCAGTCTAAATATAACGGAAATGAAGAGCTAACTCGTTTCCCCTTGGTCAACAGGTTATAAGATAACTGTGGCCCTTAGGGCCCCTGGCAAAGACTCGGGAAGAGATAAAACCTGATTTCACTAAAAAGGTTTATCGGCGGTTTCTCATCTAGTGATATACGCGCGACGACGTCAAACGGTGATATGAAGGGGCAAACGAATGTTAAGCCGTATCCACACCGTCCCGGTTCCCACTGCGAAGCTTCGCCGTCAGGTTTTTCTCCCGGTCATTACTCAAGTGCACGAGGTTCTGAGGTATCCTTGTCCCGCGCGGCGAAGCCTCGGGGCAAGGTCGAGCCAGTGGGGACGCGGCTTGTCGCGCGACCGCCCACGCGTACCCGAAACAGCCAGCGAGAAACTGACAATAAGCTAAAGCGTTACAGAATAATAAGTTGAAATGGACTTACCCTCTTCAGCGTTCAGGTCTGAAAACTTTATGCCGCCGCTGAAATGGAAAAAGCAGACGTGGGATGAAAAACACTTGGTAAAAATAAAGCTGCGAGAGGATGGAACTATTCGGAGCAGCGGTATACGTATCGCGTCTAATCTAGAAATGAAACGTTCCGTGTCGAACGACGCGAGAACGAGGGATTCGAATTGGCTCGATCGAAGATTCTTTTCCTTGAAAAATGAATTGCTCGGGGAAAACGGCGATCTCCGCGGGAGTGTTACTCGACAGTTTCTGTCAGCATGCCCAGCGCTCTGACTCGCTGCGTTTCTATTCTCGCGCAAGGGAACACGTGCAAGTATTTACAAGAGCGGAACGCGTTCGTCGAACGATCGTTCCCGGCAATGCTCGTTCGATCTGAATCGATTGCTACCGTCATCCGAGTCGGAGCGTCGTTTGTCATCGATCGGAACGGTACCCCCCCGATCGATGACGAAAGACACTCGAGTTCCTTCGATCGCTATTGCACGCGGTGGCACGCTAATTGGTTCGATTATTAGTACGGGCTCTTCGTATCTCAAAGAATTTTCCGTGACTCGACACCGGGAGAGGCGGCGGAAGAAACTTTCGGCGAAAGCTTGAACGTTACTGCCGGTGGAACAGACGCGGCGAATCGTTTTTCGAATTGAACGCCTAGGATTCTCGTTCAACGGCGAATCCAGGATTAGCATTTTCAAAGCTTGAATGTACAAAGAAGTCTGTACGATTTCGAATCGATTCGGGAGAACGTCCACTTGTTCCACCGGCAATTGGCGAATGAACGCGAAACGATCCCTCGCGCAAACGAAAACCATCGCGTTTCCATCAATTTCTACGGGGAACAACGAGATCCGACACCGCGAGATTGTGGAAAGTGTCAGCGGTTTTCCGAGCCGCGAGCAACAAGGTCCGCTCGCGAATTCGCATCGCCATGCCTTCGGTTCTCCCTAGAACTCTCGCCGTGTCTCGGTCTCTCGGTAAACTTGTTATCGTGTGATTGCATACCTGAGCAGCACGGTCGCTGTCTCGGGAACACGGAACACCTGAAAAAGAAGACAACCAGCGCTCTATCGAATCCAC